CTCGGCTCCCGCTGGAGCCGCGGCTCAGCTGCTGGCTGGCCCAAGCGAGGGGACGCGCTGCGCCGCTGTGCCCTCCACCTCCGTCCGCGGCGAGTTGCGGTGCTCTGGGGCGGACTTGGAGGTCTCACCTGGGCGCCAGCCTGGGCGCTCACTGCCAGGGACGGTTTCTGCAGGCCGGCCACCCAGGCGCCCGTCGATGGTCCCCGAAGTTTCCTCTTCCTCCCTGGAGCTTCAAGCCGCCTATATAGAGTGGTGGTTTCTTGGGCCAGCCCACTGGGCACAGAAACTTCCACGGGCCTCCGCCCCCTTCTGCCATTTCCAAATTGGCCCATCCCAGTGCTTGCACGGAGGGGGCAGTTGCCCCATCAGAAGCCCCAGCTCCTTTGGCTCGTCTTGACTGCCCCTCCCCTCCCCAGGGATGTGTTTCTTCCTCAAGGCCACTTTTTGAACTTCTGCAGCTTCCAGCAAAATAGTTCAGCCTACTGCAGGTGGTCAGGCCTGGGGACGGTGCGCCTCAAGGCCCCGTGTGCCTTTCTGGTTTCAGGTCGCCCAGCCAGGCCGTGAGCTCCAGGGGAGAGAATTCTTTTGGGAAACCGAGACTGGAAGACACTCTTTCTCCGCTGACAATAGGCAGGAGCCAGGCTGTGTCCAGGGATTCTTCGCACGCCTTCCTTTCCTTTGGAGAACGCTTACCATTTGACTCAAAGGCAATGGCAGCAGGACTGAAGGGACACACAGGAGCTGTTCCCGTGATTTGGTGACAGTTCTTCCAGCGCCAGGGTCTTAAGGAAACGTGGATCGAGACATTCCGGAACTCGGCTGTTGTGTTAAGGCCGAAACCAGCATGGCTCAGGTAAAGCGTGCTAGATCACTGGGAAGCTTGCGTGCAGTTTCTCTCATGAATGCTGCCTTAGTCAACATATTGACCTACCCCAGTGGGCCAAGCTCTGTATTAAGAACCAGGGGGAGATCTAGAGGAAGGAAAGGAGACAGGCGACAGCCCCTGCCTTCAGGGAGCTTCCAGTCAAATGAAGGAGGTAGGCTCTACTGCATCTACCACAGGCGCAGATGGGCCATTTGCAAAACCATGGGTAACTAACTCAGTGTGTGCATGGTACATTAAGGGCTGAGGGGCCTGAGGGAGCGGGACTGCCTGGTGAATGCTTCATTTGTCTTTTGGCAGGAATGTATTGAGCTTCTCTTACTTGTAAGGCATTGTGCTGGGCCCAAAAAGGTGAAGAACACATTGTCCTGCCCCCAGCGGGAGGCCAGCCTCGTTAGCAGGGAGGAGGGTGGGGAGAGAGTATGTTTTTCATCTGTGCATTCACAACACCTTAGCTAGTGGCTGGCCTGCAGAGTGGTGGTAGAGACACGGTGCATCTCTGTTGACTGCAGGAATGTGTACGCTGCTCACTCTCGCTGCCATCAAGTCTGCTCCAAAGCTGTGAGCCTGTAGAACAATCCCTGTGGGTTTCTGAGGCTGTTCATAAGTCCTTATGGGCGCAGAAAGTCTCATCTTCCTCCGACAGGCAGCTGTGGGATCCACTGCTGACCTTTTCGGTTAGAAGCCCAACCTGTAACCTACTCCACTACCTGGGCTCATGCACTGTAGATGAGGGAGTGATATTTCTGGCTGAGTGAGCAAAGATGAAGCTTGGGAGGGTGCATATGTTTTTGCTTGATAAGCAGACAAAAGCATCCGGACAAGAGGAGCTACATGGGCAGGTGCTTGGAGGCATGGTGGGGTGGGGGTGGGTGGACGACTCCAGGTAGTTTGCTACTAATGGAGCAAAGCATTCCCCTGGCAAGCGAGGTAGAGGAGCGTCGTCTCTGGAGAAGTAAGTGCTTTGCTAAGGAATTGGAGTGGATTCTTTGGGGAATGGGGACATTGAGAATGTTAAACCGCAGAGTGACAGCAGATCAGTGTGTATAGGAGGGACTTGTCATTGTGGATGGAGCCCTGGTGGCATAGTAGTGGGTTAGACATTGGCCTGCTCCCCACCAGGTGAGCTGTTTTATTTCACTGGCCACTCCAGAGTAGAAAGACAGGCTGTCTACTCCTGTAAAAAAAAGTTAGCCTTAGAAACCCAGAGCGGGAGTTCTGTTCCATCCTGTCGGGGTGCTGGGAGCTCGAGTAGACTCCCATGGCAGCTGGTTTGGTTGCCCGGTTGGTTGCCCTCTAGGGTTGGAAGATGGATTGGAGAAACCGGATGACCAGATAGGCTGTCATCGTTGCGTGTGTAGAAATCGTCGTGTGTGTAGAAGCACTGTGTGCACGCATCCCCAAAGCCGCTCCCAGCCCTCTTCAGGGACCTTCCCCAGCCAGCCTTCCAGAATGCAGCCTGCTAAGTGGGGTTGGTTCTCTTCCAGCGCCTCCGAGCACAGCTTCCTCCTTCCCATGCGGAGTAGGAGCCCTCCCGTTTCTTCTTCCGTTGTCTCTGTCAACACTGTAGAGCAGTGTAGGTCTTCGTTGGACTCTCATCAGCCCTGGGGGGATTGGTGTTCATGGCCAGAAGGGTTTCACATTAAAGGCCAGAGAGGCCAGAGATGACACCGTTTGCAAAGGGCCAGGCTAAGATTTTCTTAACTCCACACCTTTCACTCCCAACAGCCCTGATGCTGGCCAGGGGGCCCCAGGTGAGACAGAGCACAAAAATGAGTTTTTCTATCAGCCACTCCTAGGAGTTTGCTCATCACCTGCTACGTAAAGTTTGCAAAAAGCAAAGTCCCTGAAGTTGGCTGATCAAGGTGGAGTTGGAGCCCGAGGGGCTGGAAAGTAAACCATGCTGCAGCATCCCTTGTGCACGATGCATTTTAACCCTTTATGTGGAGCGGCGGATGTGAGGAAACGTGGGCATATGTGCACACATACAGATGGCCAGCAGGGGTCAAGAGGCCTTGTATGTCCAACACCAAACTCTTTTTTTTTTTTTTTAATTATTTATTTTTA